GCTATGAAAGGAAAGGCAGTACAAGCAGAGCACTGGGAGATTTTTGAAGAGGAAAGGCTTAAAAATAATGACATCTTTGGAGCAAGTGTGTTATGCATTATGGCTGAGAGTTGTTCTAGCTTTGTATAACTGGTTTAAAGAAATACTGTCTCAATTTAATTTGCCCAAAACAAACTTTAAAAAATGTTGCATTCAATTTGCACATTGTTTTCAGAAGATCAAACAGAAATATTTTTAAGTTGCAGATTTATTATTCAGATATCTCATTTTGAACCCTGCAACCACAAACATTTTTTGTTCTTATTTTTAAAGGTCTACCTTTTACATAGCATAGCATACCTGAGACTGCAGCACTGAAATGAATGTGCACAAATCATACTGCCCATTTCACTAAAGATGAGCTGATTATGTTTTATTGGAAGTCAGATGTATAGTATTCAATAATTCATTGGAATGAGTAAGCTATTATTGGATTTAATTTGACTCTTGTTTTTAAATAGCACTATGGGAAGAAACTTATTACAATTAATAATATTCAAATTGATTTTATGTCCCGTGTATGCTGCTCTGAAATCCTGGTGGAAAATCTAAAGTTAAGTGTGATCATAGGTAAATACCACTGTGCTGCTCTCCTTCTCTTTCTTGTTCTGCGAGTGTGTATGTGCAGGTTTGTGTAGCAGGTAAGAAATTAACATTCATTATAGGCTCCAGTTTGTTGTGGTTTTGTTTGAAACTGTGACTAATTAACTTTCATAGGTTTGTCCCATATCTGGACAGCTGCTGCTCTTTTGTCTCTCAAATTTCTGCATGTTCATTTGTCTTCGAATTCTGATTTGGTGTCAGTCAGCCGCCTCCAGGGAAGCAGTGTCTGCAGTGCGGCATTGGCGCGCCCAGTTCGCCTCCTGCTGTGGCGTGGCGAGAGGGCCACACCTGGTCCTCTTGTTTTTAACTTGCATTTTCTATGTTAATTAGTTTCTATTTTTATTTATTTTGTTTGCAGCCCTTTTTGATTCTTTACATAACTGTAAATTTATTTGGGCCGATATTGTTGTTTCTTTTGTTAGGTTCAGGGTTGTCACATTCATTAACTGTCTTTTCTGTTTGTAGTTGCTGAGGTCGGGTGGCGATGTGGTGACAGTGTCTTCCTCTTCTGTGTGCTGTAATTCCTGAGTTTGGGTGTTCTCACTGCATCTGGTGCTTTAAAGCAGTGGTTCCCGGGCTGCGGACTGGTACCTGTCAATGGACCGATTGGTACCAGGCTGCACAAGAAATAATTAAATATTTCTGTTTTATGTAATATCTGAGTCTGAAGGATCTTTTACTTTGGAAATCCTTTCACCAGATTCTCTTGGTTACGTCTTGTGCCAACATTGAGCTGCAAGCAGCAAAATGAGTGAGAAACAGATCAGATTCTTTGGAAAGTTTCTTTGCTGAGGGGAAAAGACCCAGAGAAGAGACAGGAGAATGGATTTATCCCGGTAGGTGATTCCCACATTCCAAGCAGCTCTGCATGATATGATGACCGTCTGTTAATGAGGGAATGAAGCTCAAACTGCTTCTCTACTTGGAGACCATGAAAACCCTGTGCATAAGCATAAGCTTCAGGTGTCATTGTCTCTCATCACGCCCAGATGGGATCATCTCATTCCAAAGAAACATTTAATTTGCCATTATCGAGTTAAAATTTTCATAGAAATGTTTGTTTTGTGGCGTATCTTATTTAAAGGGATGTCTAAATGCTACCATAGCGACGAGAGTCAGAGAGCGTTAGGGCAGTGATCAAGAGGAGAGGAGTAGAGCTGGTGAGTCTTAAGTCTGGTTCCAAGGGCACAATTTAAGAATTGTCAGCTGACTTTTTCCAAACCTCTGTGACCACAGAACTGATAAAACTACAACAGGTTCGATTGGTTCATATGTCCAGCCACACGTCAGGAGCAACACACCACACGCGAACCAATTCCACTCACGAACATCCCGATTCCAGAAGAAAATCCTGTTAAACCCCCGACATACTGTAGTACTAGGCTATTGGTGGAAAGGAACCTTTGTGCTGTATTGTTTAGGGGCGGAACAGAATAAAAGAGTCCCTGCTAAGATGGAAATGTCTCGTGTGCTTCTGAGTAGCCTCAAGATTTTATTAAATATACATATCAGAGAACAGAACATGATGTCAGAAGTATAGACTACTTAGCGAAAAGAGAGAAAGAATAAGTGAGAACTGATGGCTTGAAAAAATAAGAATGACAACGTCATGAACCAGTTTCAAGTTCCCCCGCCTGAAAAGTTCACGTTCAGAGCTGAAGACTGGACAAAATGGAGAAAGCGTCTCAAGAGGTTTTATATTGCTTCTGGTTTGGAGACACAATCGGAGGAAAACCAAGTAAATACTCTGATACACACCATGCGGGACAAAGCAGAAGATATATTTGTTTCTCTGCATCTGACTCCACAAGAAGTGAGTGAGTACGAAACTGTCAAGGGATGGTTGAATGCTCACTTTGTAGCCCGCCGGAATGTTATGTTTGAGCGGGCGAAATTCAATCAGCACCAACAGGAGACGAGTGAGTCCTTTGATGGCTTTCACACTGCATTACAGTGTTTGGCTGAACACTGTGGATACAGGACTTTGCATGATGAGAAGGTGCTGGACAGATTTGTCATGGGTCTGAGAGATAAAAGACTATCAGAACAGCTACAAATGGACACTGAACTGACGCTAGAGAAGGCGTTAAACAGCCCATCAGAGTGAGCTAGTAAAAAAGCAACAGGAAGTGCTTCATGCTAAGTTCAAGTCAGACATTGCTGGCGCGCAGTTGGATCATGTTCACGCAAGCGTTGAGCGCGCGCTCCAGACAACCGAAGGCGACACACAAATATGTCATCACAAAAGCAACACAAAACATAAAGGCACAGTGCAATTATTTTGGGAAAAAGGGACATTTTGTAGGGTTTGCAGAAATAAAAAAAATATGTGAAGTAAATGCTGGGTTTGCAACAGAAAGCTCACATACAGACAATGATATTGCTTTTCTGGGATCACTTTCTGCAGAAGTTAAATGCAATCTATAAATGACAGAAAACTTGTGGACAGACATAAGACTATTTAAAATAGACACAGGAGCTGATGTCACTGCTGTTCCAGAAACACTGTAGTCTCAGTACCAATTTGGCAAATTAGATAAACCAAAGAAAATCCTACAGGGACCAGGAGGCACCAAATTAAAAGTGGAAGGCATGTTTACAGCAACACTAAGCAACAACAGCGTTAGTAATGAGGAGGACATTTATGTAGTGAAGGATTTATGTACATCATTGCTGAGTGGGTGTGGTGCAATGGCATTAAAATTGGTTTCCAGGGTAAATCAAATAGGGTTGGACTCAATTGATGCTGTGAAGCAGGAGTTTCCTAAACTTTTCACAGAACTAGGACTGATGGAGGGTGAGTATAAGATTGTTCTATCACCAGATGCGCAGCCTTTCTCCCTCTCAACCCGAGGTGGATATCCCTCCCCCTACTGCCTAAAGTTAAAGAGGGCTCAATCAATGTTCCCTGTAATTGTTCATGTGTCTGGGCATACACACAAGCTTCCTGTGGGCATCATCAGTGTGCACAGCGTGGCCATGCACAAGTATTACACCTGTTATAAATCTGGGATCATAGAAAGTTGCATGGCTTATTAAAAGAATCAGATTACATCAGCATTTCATTTCATTTGTTTGCTTTTAATTTCAGTGATTTGCCCAATTAAAAATGAAAAAAAAAATTGCTGTTGATGAGATGCATAGTTTAAGAGTCCTGCTTTAGCCAGGGTGAGAAATGAGACATTACACCTTTCAGACATAACTTTTTGTTCACATTAAAATGTTTTCTGCAGCTTGTGATACAGTATAAATTCTTGTAAAATGTTTAATTACACAGTTTTTTTACGTCTGCCCTTCTCACTTCACGTCAGTCTGCTTCTTGCTTTATGTACTTGAATTCAGCATATTGACTATTAATGGCCTCCATAGTCTGTGGGTGGAGGAGAATGGCCTCATACTTCTTTGCCAGTGTACAAATGTCTTATCCATAGTCAAAAGTCTGAACTCACCGCTTCGATATCAAATGCAGACCATTCCTTTAATTCATGCTCTGAAAAACGAGCATCATTGTGATCACAGAGCTTACTAATAAAAAGAATAATCTCAACGGTGACACGGTCCCTCCACTGTACACTGTACTGTTCTTCTACTTGCACAAACTCCGACAGCCATTTCATCTTAGAAGAAGTGCATTTCTTTTTTATACTGTGGCTTGGTGAGTGGATGTCCCACTTGGACATGATAAGGTGTTAGCTTTCATGTCTCTTAACTCCGCCGCACTATTCTCACCTGCACGGTGCCACAGTGCATTTGACCAAGGCGAGTACACGAAAAACATGTGATGATTGGCTGCGTAGCCAAAGTGAACGGTATCGTATCATTGGCTGGATTCCTGTCACTTTCTGAGTTCGATCACATAGTAGTACAGGAAAAATGTTATTGGTCCATACTCAAAACTGATGTCTGAGCTCAATGTCCAGTTTACATTGGACTTTATTTCATACACTACATAGACGACTGCTGAAGTCCAATCTCCTGTGAAACCGCATTCAGTTTCCCACTGTTGGTGTATGTCGGTGTATGAATGTATCCATTTCTATAACATAGAAAGTACTCCTGGATCAGTGCTTGTATGTCTTTTTGTGTCTTCTCAAACACCCAGTCGGCCAAGACAGATGTTGGTTTATGCTGAGCCAGGTCCTGACTCAGATGGAGTTTTTTTCTCATTAACATTCCTTTCTTTCATACTGCATGCATGCTCAGTATGATGAATAGTTGCAAACTCAACCCTATGTAATCTCCTGGGTGATTACATAGGGTTGCTGTCAGTCTAGTTTTGATAACAACAAAACTAGACTGTGTTATCAAATACAAATATATAAAATAAAGTTTAAGAAAATAGGGAAAAATTTATTTACCAGTATGGAGGAGACAATAAGGGACCGATTGGACAATGAATCTGAGACATTAGTTGTCTTTCCCTTCTGATTGTCAGTCATATTGAGGCCACTTCCTGGATCCCAGGTACCAATCTGTAAAAGAAAAAAACATTGTCCCAGCATGAAGCACGTTATGCAGGAAGACTTAAGAATAATCAATAACCCATTTTGAAACTTATTGCTTTGAGTTTCACTTTGACTGCAACAAAGAGGAAGAAGAGGGGGCCGAGGGAATGGGGCGTGGGCGTAACGGGGCAGTTTTGAAGAAGGGGAGTAAAAAGAGGGGGGTCCTAGACGACTAGGACAACAGCTGTACATCCTCAAAAATAAACATGGTCAAAATGAGATTTCTTTTTTTGCTATTTTGATCAGTCTTGAAATCCACAAGCAGAATGCTTTATTCCACAGATTTATTGTATTTTCCAGTCCATACATTCAAGACTCAATGTGCATTTACAAAAACTAAAAATGAAAAATCTGAGTGAAGCAAAATGTTTAAATTTCTTTTGTGTTATAAGCGTAATAGCTACAAACTATTAAAGGTATTTTTGACTGCAAAAATAGAAAATTTTGCTTGTCATCTTCATAAAGAGACCAAGCTTTTGCATGTACTTCAAATTGTTCAAGAACAGCAGCTGATTTAATTTGAGTATGCCTTTTCAGTCGATTTTAGGGGCAGTGGTTCAGGGTTTAAGAGAACAGAAACACTGTCTCCACAATGGGAAAATTCAGGTCTAACAGTGTTGTTTGACTGTACAAGATTATAGTATAATACATCAGTGGAAAATAAAATTGTGAACCTTTAAATTTTAGTGAAACTTATGTAAATGTTTATTGAATTCAACTATTTTTTGGGTTTACTTAGAAAATAGGCATAGAATAAAAGATAAAACTAATTCCAATTTTTGTCAGTTTGCCTAAAAAATTATATGACTACTGATGTGCTGGTAATTTTACCATCTTTCCCTTTCGGTTCAACACAAAGATGATCTGTACGACATCCTGAGGAAACAGTTGACAGCAATCTGACCCCTCAACAATTTCATGGCTGCTTTCTTCTTGACACCAACAGGGACCAATGTTACAGCTGATCAAGGATTCTGATCTGCCTCATGGCCTTTTGAGGTGCTGACCAGTGGGAGCTGAAAAAGGGAGGGAGGAACGTACATAACAGAGAAGCAAAGTGGAAGAGAACAGCAAAGATCAGTTTGTGCCTCAAGGCTTTTCATGTTCCCATTCTTACTTTAGGTTGTCAAGACAAGTCTCTTTAACACCCCTGTTCTCCGTCCAGCTTCTCAACGATAAGCATCACTAGAGGGGACCACAGACAATCCAACCCTCAGCTGCCACACACTCCTCAAGGCACCTATGATAATCTGAGTGAGTGCTTGAGATAGTCTTTGGAATTGCAAATCAACACTTTAATTCAAGTTTCATGAGACTGGAGAGCTTTTGAATGAGTTTTTATTAATGGAGTAAATTATTCATGGATCTGCCAGAAAACACACTACGTAGACTAAAGGTCAGAAGACGCCGAGAGGAATGCGCCAGTGAGAATAATGAAGTTGAAAGTGCTTGCAGTTCTATGAGTGAACATTATTTGCATCATCAACATTAGTTGGTTCTTCTCTTGTTCATAATCTTGTAAATCTCTGAGTGCTGAACAATGTAGTTCTATTCTCAGGATGCTTCTCTCCGTCTGAGAACATCAATATAATTGAAAAAATGACTTATTGGAGTTTAGATCTATACCCTGAGCCTGACTTGAAATTTGGACTGGGTCAGGTCACAATGGGCTCTGGCTTCTGTGGTGTGTTTATTATAAGCCTACTATACAAACAGGATGGTGAAAACTAAATAAAAATGTGTCATAAAGCTATGCCAATCTGCTTATTCCAATCTAAACAGAGTAGGAGGCAGCTTATCCTGGCGAGGAAAGAAATAAAGTAAGGTGCAGAAGTTAATCAGCCTTAATGATCACTTTCTTATTTTATGTTGGAGCTGCTCTGTGGTGGCTGATGCCACCACATGCCTCCTGCACTCCAAAAGACCCCAGCATCTTCAGCAGCTTGAAAGCTTAAATCAAGGCAACAAGGATCATTATAAGTCTGCAATCAAAATTGTCAGAACAATACAAAGCTGAAGTGAAGGATTAGACAAGAAACACGGGTACCTAAGCAAAACCTGGGTCTGTGGAGCCTTTCCAGCAACACCTCACAGCTCAAGGTCCCAACTTAAGAGCTACACTAGAGAAGTGGATTATTAGAGAATGTAGTTTTGAATATGATTTTGCAAGAATCTTTCCATCTTACCACGCTGTTGGAACTCTTTAGTAGGTGAAGATGAACACAAAGACTATGCTGGAAACACTGACATAGTAACATGCTGAATTGTAGTTAGTGGCATCGAGAAATTCAATTTTAAGTCTCAGTCATTTGTCAAATATAGGTGAACATGTTTAACTAGGATACAGAAATTACAATTAGCTCATGGATAAGGTCAACATTGGTCCATAGATGTTTTTTTAACTCTAAGTCAACTTATCAAATATTTTTTTAACCATGGTTTGTATATTTTATGTGTGGCTTGAAGTTTATGGGTGACATTATTCAATTTTAATGGCTGCATAAACACAGAAATCGCATGATTTTGAACAAGCTGATAAGATGACAATGCTGTCAGAAAGTCAAACTTCACAGGAAAAACACTAGGCTATCATGAAGTTGTTAATGTGATGAGAATGAGTGCAGTAGGACCCAGAGTATGGTGAGAAATTGAGTATAATAATGTCCAAAAACCAGTTGGCAAAGCAAGGACCAACAGGAAAAGACACCAGAGAATGACAGACTTGGAGTGACAAAACAATGGCTAAGGATCCAACAGGGAGCAGATGACAAAGGTAAGATTACAGGGGATAATGAAGGAACAAGAGACAGCTGGTTACAGTCAAGGGCAAGACATGACAACGCAGCGACTAAATTAACCAAAATACAAACAGAGAAACCAAAATCCTCACACAGGCACTCACCTTTTGGCTAGTTACACACCATTCCCCAAAGCAAATAAAGTGCAAAAAAAAATTGCAGAAGTGAATCATAATCATTACAAACCAGATAAACTCTGAATCCCTCTGGCAGCTGTCACTGATAAAAACTGAATTTATTATTATTGTTGCTGTTCTATGTCTGTTTTTTGTTCCTTTCTTTTTCTTCACCTTCTAGTTTGATTTAAGCTTTTTAGTTAGATATTTTATGTTTTTGAATTACTCATTCTTTATATTTTCTTTTTTCTGTTTTGTGCATCTTTCTTTAATAAAGCAAAGTCCGATATCATTCCCACATTATTGGTACTGCAGAACTTCTAAGACTATATTTACTCTCTTACAGAAGTTATGATGTGTATGTTTGTGTTCTCTCATCGGACATCCCAGATTCTAGGTAGCTATGTTTATTGGAATATAAACCATTTTTGCTACACTTCAAACCCAAGTGTCAACAGTTCAAATAGTCAACTCAAGACCACAAAGCAGCATGTACAATGTAATCTATTGATATTTTTGGTCACAAAACTTTAAATGTCATTACTGCATCATCCCAGTTGAATGCTGCAGGATTCACAACACAATATTATGCTTGTATGGATCTATTGTGGTATTGTGGAGGCCACAGGCTGCGGCCCCTTCTTCCTGCTAAATGGCAAATGTGCCCTAGACTGGTTATACCTGATGCCAGGTTCTCAGCTCCACTGGACCTCCATAACAAACCATCTGTAGTTTTTTGTTCCTATGATAAAAGAGTGTATATCAGTGCTATTGGTGTGTTTCGCAGAATTCTGTATAAATTTGAAGCATAATGTATAAATTTGTATAAATAAGGTATAAATTTGAAATAATTAGTGACAGGCAGTCTTCTGGGTTGTAATTTCACTCCAAATAATACAGCTCTGATGGGTCGATTGCAAAGGCCCTAGAAGGATTAAGATCACTATCTGAAAATTCTGGTGTGTCCCCTAATGTCTTTGTTTGAGCCTGGTTATGTGATTACTTGTGTGTAAGGGCTTTATTAAAGTGTAATTGTTAATTTACTTACCAAGTATATCATCATCATATTCCTCAGGTTTATTCTTATAGCACCACGGATATTACTGCTCTAATACTTATTTTTCTAGTGATCATAAATGATCAACAGTGTTGATCATTTATGTGTTTCAGAGAATGTTATGTTGGCTTCCCACAGGTTTTCCTGTTTTCACACCCCACAGCCAAATGGTAATGGTGCAGATGTCCATAGTCTCACCAGCACAATCTCTTTGATGAAAGTCAGTAGAATGGTACTCTCCCATGTGACACTTTGTAGAATCATCTGAGACATAAGTGTTTGTGATTTGCCAATAGATTATAAACCAATCTCCCATTTGCAAAATGGGAGATTATATATATATATATATTTTTTTTTCCCCTCTCACCCACCGCGGGTGGTTCTTATCCTCTGAGCTCGGGTCCTCTACCAGAGGCCTGGGAGCTTGAGGGTCCTGCAGTATCTTGGCTGTGCCAAGGACTGCACATTTCTGGACTGAGATGTCTGATGTTGTTCCTGGGATCTGTTGTAGCCACTGCTCCAGTTTGGGGGTTACTGCCCCGAGGGCCCCGATGACCACAGGCACCACTGTGGTCTTCACCTTCCAGGCCCTCTCCAGTTCTTCCCTGAGGCCCTGGTATTTCTCCAGTTTCTCGTGCTCCTTTTTCCTGATGTTGCAATCACTTGGTATTGCTACATCTACCACAACGGCTTTCCTCTGTTGTTTATCCACTACGACAATGTCTGGTTGGTTCGCCACATATATATATATATATATATATATATATATATATATATATATATATATATATATATATATATATATAAATAAAAAAACCCTAATATACACTGCTCAAAAAATAAAGGGAACACTCAAATAACACATCCTAGATCTGAATGAATGAAATAAATATGAAAATAATTTCCACCTGTTGTCTATTCCATTTGCACAACAGCAGGTGATATTGATTATCAATCAGTGTTGCTTTCTAAGTGGACAGTTTGATTTCACAGAAGTTTGATTTACTTGGAGTTATATTGTGTTGTTTGAGTGTTCCCTTTATTTTTTTAGCAGTATATAATTATATATATATATATATATATATATATATATATATATATATATATATATATATATATATATATATATATATACACCAGAGCAATAGAGGCCCAGATCTACCACACCAGACAAGACCCAAGGTGTAGGTTGTGCAAGGAGGCCCCTGAGACAGTCCAGCACATCACAGCAGGGTGCAAGATACTGGCAGGAAAAGCGTACATGGAACAACATAACCAAGTGGCAGGCATTGTGTACAGAAACATCTGTGCAGAATATGGACTGGAAACCCCGAGATCAAAGTGGGAAACACCCCCAAAGGTGGTGGAGAACGCCAGAGCTAAGATCCTGTGGGACTTCCAGATCCAGACAGACAGAATGGTAATGGCGAACCAACCAGACATTGTCGTAGTGGATAAACAACAGAGGAAAGCCGTTGTGGTAGATGTAGCAATACCAAGTGATTGCAACATCAGGAAAAAGGGAGAAACTGGAGAAATACCAGGGCCTCAGGGAAGAACTGGAGAGGGCCTGGAAGGTGAAGACCACAGTGGTGCCTGTGGTCATCGGGGCCCTCGGGGCAGTAACCCCCAAACTGGAGCAGTGGCTACAACAGATCCCAGGAACAACATCAGACATCTCAGTCCAGAAATGTGCAGTCCTTGGCACAGCCAAGATACTGCGCAGAACCCTCAAGCTCCCAGGCCTCATGTAACACAGATGATTGCTGAACCTGAAAGCAATTGCAGAAAGGCAGAGAAAGACCAAGACATCACACATTTCTGCAGAAGAACAAACCAGGCTCTAATAGGCAAAATATTTGAGCATTTTAGAGGTGGAGTTGGAGCAATGTTTCACAGATGAATTGGAAAAACAATCAACAAAATGTGTTGATGGGAAGACTGAAGTTCAAGCACTGGTTGTTAGCTGTGAAAAACAGGGCATTTTGGAACTTATAGTGTGAGTGCCTTTCTGGAGGGTCATTGGCACAGAATAAAACTATAATGTATAAAATATGACCTTCTGAGCTTAACATGTGCAGTTTGAAATATCTGGTTTGAAAATAGTTTTTACAAAACTGCTTAGCTCCAACCTCTTTCTTACAAACTCTGTGTGACTACCTTGGCTCCCAATGTAAATAATTAATGGCTGCTTAGAACAGGAAGGGACAAATAAACATTTTGAAAGCTGTTACAGATACTTGCATCTCCCTTTAGAATCTGGTAAAATGAGTTTCTGCTGATCAAAATTTTGCAAAAACCGGAGATTAGAAACCAGCCTTGAAATTTTATATGAATTCATCTCTATGCCTCCACGTATGGAAGGCAGTTATATCAAGTAAGGGATTCACAGAAAACGACAAGATGTCTGAAAACATAAATACAAAGATAAAATGTAGAAAAAAGTGGTTTGCAGAGCCCATTCACTCTAACTTTCATGTGTTTAACCCTCATTTCATCCCTTGAACAACATCAATCATTATGGAAGTTTAAAACAAACATCAGAGTATAAATGTCACATATAGTTTTTGAAAAGTAATCACTTTTTTCATGAACAAACTTCAATGTCTTGACAGTTTTAGTTTACTTAAGCTGACTGAGCTAACTCAACTGTTGGCTAACCAATTAGAATGTCTGACATTAAAGTATTAACTCAGAATAGTTCATCATGTGAATAACAGAGCTATTCCATAAAAACATTCTACAGTGCCATCCCACCAGATTTCCACATAAATGTGAATACTTTAACTTACAAAGTTTAAAGACACGGGTTAAATTTCACAAGGAAACATGGGGTTTTAGTTTATTTAACAATAAACACATTTTATTCTGTTTACAGGTAAATTGGGTCAAATAGATATGCATTCATGTTTTAATTCGTAGCAGTTCTGAAAAAAACCTGTATTATCCTCCTTCAATTTCTCAATCAGGCACTATTTTGCTTTTTTGTATCACACAAAATCCATAAGAAATGGATTAGTTTGATGAGGTATAAAGACCAATAAGCCAAATGATCTCTGATGTCACTGAAAGCTTAAGAGGTTTGTGAGATGAGATGATGAGTATGTGTGTTTTAGGTAGAATTTTTACGTAGAGATTGAGCACATTTCTGAGTTCAAGTCTCACACACACACACACACACACACACACACACACACACACACACACACACACACACACACACACACACGCACACACACGCACACACACACACACAACGTTCACACTGATCATTGACTAATTTTACCCACTGTGGCACACAGATTGACTGTTTTTTCTTTGTCCAACTCATTAAATTTGTATTTGAAGACCGAAGATTTACACACAAACAAATTAGAAAATGCATAACCTTCTCAAGACCCTCTTCTTTGAGACTAATAACATCAAGGTCGAAGTCTGTTCTCAGGCCATTGGTCCTGTTGAAAGAGATTCTTCCAGTCAAGCCATCCCAGTGTGCCTGCAGACAGAAGGAGTAAGACATAGGTCATCAGAGAACACAACAACCCGGCAACATCAAGTCTGCTCCTCTGCTATTGGTTTGATGTCAGCCTTGAAAGAAACATCCAGAAAATCTTCCTTTTCTCTGTTTGTGTACAGTCTTTTCTGTTTGAAGGCTCTAAACTGACTCCAACTCCGTGTGTAACAATGGAAAAGGAATTACCCTATCTTTACAGATATTTAAATATTGTAGCATGAAAGTGACTCACAACAGAGATGGCTTGGCAAATCATCACAGTTTCTCCAGACAGAGAGAAATGCACTTCAGGGCCCATCTTTGAATCAGCGAGTGGGAGCAACAGATTTGGAAGTTCTTCTGTGAGCTACTCAAAATCTTTCTGACACTACAGCTGTGTCTGAGTGCCTCTTCATTTACAGAAGTGTTGTGGCATATCTGAGGATGTTTTACTTCAGTGGAGATCATTGTAAATTTGTATTATGTACTAAAGAAAACATTCACTGTAAGTCACCCGAGCACAATTACCTTTGCTTTTCAAAATCCTTCCATTCATTATCTTATACGCTTAATAGTAATGTCACTAATGGGTGCTGGTGCCTATCTCCAGTGGTCAATGGGAGGTGTTGGTCACCCTGGACATGTTGTCAGTCTTTTGCATGTTTTTCAGTCTCATTGTAGATATTTAAAGTTTCCTTATTTGGAATCATATCAGATGGTTTTAAAGCATTTACTTTATTCACATGTTTGTTCTGCTTTCATTTGTTCATTCTTTGAAACTCCTAAGTTTGACAAAAACTCATTTTAATGTCAGACAAACAAGCTTGTGAAAATGTAAAATGCAGTCACCATTGGGAACTGGGGTTTGGCTCTTTGTTGGGGATTTTCTGTTGCCTGCTGCTTCCCTCTTCGCCTGCTAAATGGTGTCTCGAGGCTGCACTACCTTGGAGGGCAGCCTCAGGTGTGCTGACTATCACCTAATCATCCAGGTGTATATGAGGAGCAGGCTGCCAGCACGTCAACACCGGAGTGTTTGCTAGTTATGGTACTCTTTGCTCCTCTGAGCTTGCTCTGTGTTTTTCTGAGATTACTTCTAGTAATATATACCTGTTGCTTATCCCTCAGGTAGTGATGGTGAGATGAAGCCATGACACTAGTGTCCAATCTTTGCCAAAGTCTGCTTCCTACCTTTAAATAAAATAAGAAACAATGAAGAAAACAGTTCCTCATAAGCAAATCTAATGCATCTGCAAATGTTCAGTTCACCTTACCTTGTTAGGGCTTATCAAATCAAAATGTTCCCACATAGGGGATATCTATCTATCTATCTATCTATCTATCTATCTATCTATCTATCTATCTATCTATCTATCTATCTATCTATCTATCTATCTATCTATCTATCTATCTATCTATCTATTAAACTCTCCAAACACCAAACTAACTGTCTCAAACTAAATAACCACTCTCCAAACTTTGCTATCCAAACTATCAAACCTCTATCCATTCTCTAACTGACCGCAACTCGCCTACAACAACCCACATTTTGAATGGAGCCTGTGGGGTTTATAAAAGCTGTCAAACCACTTCCTGAAGCAGTCACATGGTACAGCGGGGCAGTGAGGCTTCGGATGTCATCGTTTTTGGCTCCTCCCCTAAATGAAGCAAGCCTCGATACACGCTTTACGGAAACGTCCCTTCCTTTACTCGACACACGCTTCGAAGCCTCGGCACATCCCGTAACATCACTACCCTCAGGTGTTTCTTTGTGATGCCTTGAATTTAAGCCCTGTGAAGCCCGAGTTCCTGGCTTTCTGGATTTTCTCCTCGTGATGATGTGGATTGTTACTCACTGGTTGCCCAAGTCTGTTTTCGCCTCTGCAGATGATTCATTAACAGTTCCTGGATTCTCAGATGGCAGTCAGATCGCTCCTCAGTCCTCCTCAGCTGAACTTACCTGTCCACCCTCTGGTGCAGCCTCTACCATCTACCACCAAAGAAATCTCTCCATTTGAACCTCATACTGAAACCTGGATCATCACAAGGACCCCTACAAAGAGACCATAACTCCAGAGACCACAGTAACTTTCCCCCCTGACAGAAGTTCATATCAAGTAAGAACAGTCCATTTTTCCCTGAAGGTCCATTGTCCCGTAAACCTCAAACTCACCATCTCTCTCACTGTTTTTCAAAGTGCAGACGACCCCAGTTGCCATCCACAAGGACAAGAACCACACAATCCATCATTACTGTAGTAAACTTTATTTGATTATCTGTTCTTCTGATTGTGTTCTGTATGTGGATAAAAAGACTCTCTAACTGACCGCAACTCGCCTACAACAACCCACATTTTGAATGGAGCCTGTGGGGTTTATAAAAGCTGTCAAACCACTTCCTGAAGCAGTCACATGGTACAGCGGGGCAGCGAGGCTTCGGATGTCATCGTTTTCGGCTCCTCCCCTAAATGAAGCAAGCCTCGATACGCGCTTTACGGAAACGTCCCTTCCTTTACTCGACACACGCTTCGAAGCCTCGGCACATCCCGTAACATCACTACCCTCAGGTGTAGGGTAGTTTGAAGAAAGTATCTTATTTGAAGAAAGTATCTTAAAAGGAGCAATAGCCATCAAGAATTTATGATAGTGGACAAGTTAGGTTTTTTTTGTTGTTTTTTTACATCTCTGTGGAAGAAAAGTGTTTTAAGATCAAACCAAAACATCTAATTTTGAAGAAATTAGATGCCTTCACTTTGTATCCTTTGTATTACCTTTCGACCAATCAATCAGTGGAAACTACAGATTATTCTGTTTCTTTTGCAGCTCTTCTGAATTCCTGCATTAACTTATTCACTTAAAGTGTCTTGTATAAAAGTTGGATATATTTCCATTGCACAATAAAATGTTAATGTAGTAGTGATAATTTATTTTATCACTGTGGTCTTAACACACACACACACACACAAAAAAAAACACCAGAGGAAATGGGAAAGTATTGTGGGAAGAAGATGAGTTCTAGATGAGAGGAAACTGTGCGACTAACATGATTTAAACTCATTATGTGCTCTAGCAGTTGTCATTTTGTGGGTATATCACAATACTTCGTGTTCCAGATGGAAGAGATCTTATAAAGCAGTAAATACTACAGTTTAAGGCTTTCCTTTTCAGAAAAAAAAGATAAAAATTGAATATTTGAATTTTCATATTTTTATTTTTATTTTTAATATTTTTATTTCTCATCTTCACTTGGTCATCCTGGTTTACATTCCAAACTTGTCTGCTTTTCTGAGAAAATGTGTTTTCTGTGTCATGGTACAGAGTATACAAAAGCTTGTAGTTGAATGGAGAACAGGTAGACTAGGATCTACCTCTTTGATGAGGGCCATGAAGCGCGCTCCAAAGCGCCAAGGCTTGTGACGGTTGCACTGTAATGAACTGACAGTGATCTGCTGAGACTGCTGCACAGCCACGGCCACCACATGCACGGCGTCGTACATCAGCGCGGCATCCGTCTACAAACCAAGACAAGGGGGAAACAGAAGGTCATCACCACAGAGTATAGCTTTAAGCAGATGAGTAAGGCAGCTGGCATGAAATCTGTGCACAGACAAGAAAATGTTACTATCTTCATATATAAATCAAAGACTTTACTTCTACACTCACACAGCCTTTACAGCTTTAGCATGGAGAAGGTCACAAATCTATGTTGCAATGATGGTCTTACACTAATAATTTAATTGAATGTTTTTCAGCACAGTAAGGACTTTGTTAGAAGAAGAAAACACGCAAGTAGTGTGCAGCACAGTTTTACAAGTTTTCACTCATTTCTCAGTATTTTCTTACAATCAGTCAGATATTTTTGTAATCATTTAGTTATTTTTAGTAAATATCCCAAAGCCTTATTTTTTTTGTATCAAACAGTTCCAGTACTATGCTAGTGACAGTGTTTCTCTTTAAAACGTCTCTTTATCCTAATTTTACTGTTTGACATTGTTTGTTAAGAAATTAGCTGAATAAATGTCCTTCAGTCATCTGTAATTTTCTTTCGAACCTTACAATTGTAGATCACTTTGTGTTGATGTTTCCCATTGAATCCCATTGAAATGTATTCATGTTTGTAGTTGTAATTTTTTAATAATTACAGTTAAATTTGCATTTGCTAATATTTAACACTTCTCAACAAATAAGTAATTCCCGCTTGAGGATGAATAAAGTATGTTCTGGCAAAACAATAATAATTAACATTATTCACTCTTTTGGTGCTATTGGGTCCTGCTACACTTTTTAAAAATTTTGTTCACCGTTTGTAATATTCTGCACTTCTATTTCCAGAGGCATGAAAAGTTATTTGGCTTTATCATGTTCAACATCTGGATGTCTGGCTTCTAACTAGATTACTCTGGCTTTCTCCCACATTCCACAAATCTGTGTGACAGGTTAATAGGTTGTTTCAAATTGCCATTAGTTAGGAATGTGTGTGTGCATTGTTGTTTGCCCTATATATCTCTGTGTTGTCATGTGATGGACTGTGACCTAAATGCCTCTCGCCAACTGAATGCTATAGATATAGAGATAGGCAACAGCCTATGCATGTTAATTAATTTATGAATGTATTAAGTTCAGATTTCTTATAAATTTAAGGTGATAGATACACTTTGCTGTCAGAAATTCTCCTAGTGCAGCAAACCTACAATGATAGTGCTGTAAAAGGATTTTTTTTTCACTTGGTGACCAATCAGTGTATGTGGTCTGTATGAAGACTAATGAGGGTTCACATTCTGGTATGTTAGATAGATATTTGTCCATGAAGGTAAGTCCAAGAGTATGTTTTCAGCAACTAAGTTTGCTTAACTCACTTTTGGTTATATTTCATGTTTCAGGAGCATGGCTGCAAGAAATCAGTGTTGGACTAACACATTTTCTCAAAGTCAATAACTGTGTGTGAACAGCATTATTTATTGTAACACAGAAAAATGCTCCCCTGTGCAGCTTTATATTCAAAGATACAAACACTTCCCAGCCTCTCTGTGTGTTGCCAGAATTCATCTGTGTTGGTACATTTATGTTAAAGCCTTGACAGTTAACAGTCGGCCCAAACCGACCTATCAGAGAACTGCCAGTCATTCATGCTTCATGAAAGAAGCCTATAATTTTACAGATCCTCATAAATAAATAAATAAATACATAAAAAAATCAAATTAGTGTTTGTCTCGCTTGATTGAAAAGCAATCAACACAGCTCTCCACAGATGTTGCATTTAAATTGTGCCTCAGGGTGTCGGAGAAAGCATTGTCCTTTCGGGAGGAAACAAGTTCAAACCATCAGTTCTTCTCAATTGGAGCCCTGAATCTAAGACAGTCTAAGGTCTGAGAACCAGTAAGGCTGTTTGTATGTGTCCACAGGGCTTGTGTGAAAACTTTGCATTATTCAACCAGACATGCGACAGTGTGTGACAGCATGAATAGAAAGGAGTGATAATAATTATTGCTAAAATATGTTGAAGTATTTTCCTCTGGTGTTAAATAAAACACAATATAGTTGAATATACGGCCTGAAACTAATATGCTGTATTCCTACAATCATAATAGTTTTAACCAGCAGCAGAACAATATATATTGCCCATACTGACAGACTTGAATATGGCCTTCCAACAAACCAAAATCTTTTGCTGAAAATAGAAAAAAAAAATAATAATCAGAAAATACCATGTTGAAGTAATAATACAGGAACTGAACATACCAGGCAAGAGTGTCCTAATCTTGGATAGAATGCACATACACATGTTGTCTGAGCTACACTGTGTTACAACATACCCTGGACACATCCCAAACCTCCAATATGAGCTCTTTCAAACACTTATCACTTATTTAGCAGTTAGAATATTTTCAAATGTTTCAAATGTCATGACATAATTACTCCAATAATAGTCTATAAGCCAGAGGCCAACATCCATCTCAGATACATTTCAGGGTGGCAAAGACTATGCATATTTATTGAGAAAGGTTATATGACTCTAGTTAATATTTTGGTATAATAGTTGCCAAAATGGTTGCTGAGTCATATCAGCTCATGAAGTTAACAAGCCCTGTGGACAAACTCCGTTTTTTGAAATTGGTGTACATCTGAATTAGGCTCATGCTATAAGGTATGTAATATGGGGTTTGGTATCATCTTAAAGGGGACACTCTTGGCTTTCACTTAAACCAGGTTTTGAGTCTGTCTGACCAACACAGAGGTCACTAGAGCTCATTACACCAAACATAATACACATTTTTTCCAACCTCTTGACTAAACTGGATAACATTTTCTATCCCAGAGGTATTCAGGGACATCAGGGATACAGTCATTAATGACTAATGTACACAAAACATTTTAAGGATTCAGAAAATGTACAATAGACCTGTACTGTCTGTCTATGGGAGGTGACTGAGCTGTAATTTGAAGTCACAGACTTGGGCTATAACTTTAATGGGTTATTTGGTGTGTGTATGGGTTTGGGTGTTTCGGCTGTCTCTCATGTCTAGCTTTTTGTTTTAGAAAGGTTCATCAGAAATATTATAAATTTACATTAGATAAACTTTAGGATGCTGTACACAGGCCTACTATGTATCATGTATTGTGAGTTTTTCCATCCTGGGCTACCATTATGTAGCCATGATGACCACAAAGAAACATCATGGTAGGGTCTGTGGGAGCAGACCAGCCTCACTAAATGACAAATTCTGAAGTAAAAGTAAAACACAATGATTATTTCCAGGTGCTTAAGCTATTATTGACAGCATAATTCAGATTATTATGTTTCCTTCAGTAGTTAAATTTGTGTAAATATTGTTCATTGTCATAATTATACAAAAATGCCACTGCTCCATCTATGTTAAAAGAAACTGTAGCTTTGTTCCATCAAGCCACATCCTAAATGGTGAGGACAGTTTCTGCTATCATCCCTCAGATTCTGGCTGACATGATGGCAGGCTGCCTCACAGTGCTGAGGCCCAGAGCGGACACAGTGCTCTCATGTTAACAGCTATCCATTCTTTGTGCAGTAAAGCACACGGACTCTCTTTTTATTAGCTGTGTGACACCCTGTCAGTCTTTCACAGAGTGATACTGGAAACAGGAGAAGTTAGCAGTTTTAGATTTTTTTTTAAAGATTTTATTAGAGAGTGTTCAGACTAGAAAGAACATTATGAGAGAGGAGGAAGACATGCAGAAAGGGTCATCAGGCGGGAAATGAACCCATGATATCTGTCCCCATACAGGTCAGACTTTTCCCATGGACCACGCCCAGCGATTTCAGCTTAAGTTCTCTACACACAGCTGGAACTGTGTTTGTTTCTATCGTGTTTTCGGGAGATTTTTATAAATCGGCATTTCTTCTAAAGGTTTTCTTGTGAACAGAGGCAAAGTTAGAAAAGTATCTCATGAATTAAATATTCTCTTAATTAAAGTCAGCAGGCAAATGTATTCAGTGGTGTGAGGAGTGGAGCTAGGCACACTTATGCTGGAGGAGTTTTGGCAGCAAAGGTTTCTATTCCTTTCTGCTTCTCCCCAGTGTAAGTCTCATAAGCACCCGTCAGGCAGACTTGCAAATGATTCAGCAGCACCGGCACTTCACTCTATAAACATCTCATTAAAATCAATTATGTCACTCCTGAATGAAATTAAAGCTAAATGCTTTAAAAGCTGTTTTTCCCTTGTGTCAGTCAATATGAGCATTATCCCTGACACTCTATTTTTCCACCTTATTCTCTCACTTGCTGTCTTCATCACATGCAAGCACACACATTCTCACTATATGAGTGATTTATTTAATCTCTTTAGCTCTGTTTGATTTCACCACTTATGAATTGTTGAAATGCCCAGGTCTTATTTGGCAACTGCAGAGGTACCCCTGCCCCCAACTCACTATTCCTCACCAACCAGCTTCTCATCATTACCATGGAAACAAAGTGGCAAGAAATAGCTTTCAGCCATAGTGGGGATGGGGTTATCAGATCCTAAGGCTCCTTGATTTTTGTTCTCAGCACATAGTAGCTCCCTGGACTGACAAAGAAATAAGCTTGAACTGATAAAATATCAAAGACATGGAATTAAACTGACTAGCAAGATCTTCTAATTATATGCAAACAAAACAAGACTTTTCCAACTGCAACATAGTGAGCAATAATGAAAATGGATCATGAATGATTAGAATACGTTGATGTTCTCTGAAAGTAGAACGATCATAACATTTTATGTTCTTCTACAGTTACACCAGTTTCCTTGTTTTCCTTCAGCTTATAAAATAAGTTTTATTTTAAAAAGTTAAAGGGCTTTGAAACAAATTAAGTTTAAAAGGAGGTGTTTCAACTGATTACATTTTACATCATGTAATGAGATGCAAGAATAGTTAGGCTTTAAGATATATTGCGTATTCAGGTCTTGCATAATATTTTGAAAAATATATAACTACCGTAATTAAATAACTAATTACTTTTGAAAATTTATTAGTAAAGTAACTGGATTACCTTTT